GGGAAGCTTCCGAGGTGGCCTACGACTCTTGGACAACTTTAGGCAGCAGCATGATATAGTCAATAGAATATTAGATTTGAAGTCAGAAGACCAGGGTTTAAGCTCAGCTGAAAGTGTCCTCACTTCCATCAGATTTTCTTAGTCTGGATTTCTTCTATCACAACTCTCCCTTGTATCACTGTCATTATTGTCAGCAGCAGCAACATTTATAAAGTGCAAGGCACTGTGCTAAGAGCTTTACAAATATCTCATCTGATTCTCACAACAACGCTGTTGTTCCCATTTTACAGTGAGGAAATTGAGGCCAACAGTGGTTAAGTAACTTGCCCAAGGCCACACAGCAAGTAAGTATTGGGGTGCACATTATAGCTTCCTGTGCGATTGTAAGTACCACAATGGGAGGGATTGTCATTTTTCTTCTTTGTATTCAAGTGGCATAGGGCTCCGCAGATAGAAGACGGCGATGTATGTGAATCACACAGACCTGGGCGGAGTTAGGTAGCCATTTAGGTCCCGCCTCCGGAGGCGGGGCTCCGACCTCGGCATTGTTTCCCCCTCCCCCAGGCTCCGCCTCCTCCTCCTGTCTGTGCCTGCGCGGCAACCATAGAAACCGATGGCGAGTCCTCCGAGCTGCCTGGAGCGGCCTTGGAGGCGCCCGAACCTGCGGGCTCTCGTAGCCCGGGGGTCTGGGGAACTCGCCTTGGCCTTAGGGCCCTCCTTCGCAGTCTTGAGGGTTCGCCCCGGCCTCAAGGTTGTTGGGGAGCAGGGGGTGAGTCCGGGGCGGGGAAGCAGCGCAGGAGGGACGTGAGAGGCTCGGGGTCCCTCCAGCATCTTCACTGTGTGAATGGAGAAACTGAGGCTCAGGGGGAGGAAGGAAGGGCCTTGCCCAAGTCTCCCTCCCTTTCATTTTCTGCTGCCCCCCCACCGACGTGACCTTTCTGCAGAGTTTCCATCAGAAGTCTGAATGTGAGACTCTTCCTGCCTGAGCCCCAATAGGGAGTGAGTGGCTCATCATTGGAAGTATGCAAGCAAAGTCCGCGTGACCCTTCTCCCTCCACCACCCCCCTCCCTCCCAGATCCTAGGAAAGGTGTGCTGCATGGAGGGGGAGGGTGGAATCAGTGACATCTGAGACAGTTTTCTAGAGCTGATGCTGGAACGTCCAAACAAGGCCATGAGGGGGTCCCTGGAGGAGTGGGAAGAGCCAGGGCCCAGGGGACCTGGGTTCTAGCGCCTGCCTGGCATAACCTGGGAATGGGGTGTTGCCCAAGTCGCTTCCCCTCGCCTGGGAGCTGAGCCTGGAGTATCTGTCTCCTGGTCCTTCTGGAGTTCCTGGAGAGCCCCTCCCCTTTGCTTTACTTAGGGAAATTTAGCTGCCACATCCTCATGGAATGGTCTGTTGCCTGGTTAAGTGTAGAGGTTTCAGAGAGTGTCTCTGCCTGCAGAGTAAATAGGGGCTGTAATTAACCTGAACTGATCTTGTCAAATCTGAGGGCCACTGACCAGGGTGGAAGGACTGTAACAGGGAGCAAGGAGCAAGGACCTCAATAAGGTCAGAAGCAAGGTCTTCGGGGAAAGCTGCTCCTGGGGATGATGCGGAGTAGACCTAAGGGGCTAGGGCGTGCCTCTGTCAGCATTTCTGCCTGCTTAGTTTCCCCAGAATGAGGACTGATACTTCTCTTTCCTACACCAGTCCCATACTTCCTTGGGGCCCAGGACTCAGTGACTGATAATGATTTATTGATTGATTAGCATATGAAGAAGAGGCTGTGCTCCAGGCCCCCTGGTATTCTGTGCAAGGGGGAGGATCATGATGAGTAAAGGGGGATCAGGTCTCATTTATGGATGTTTTGTCTTCATTCAGCCCTGAAAGGTACCTGCTTTTTCTCTAAGGGAGCCCAGGAAATCAGGAGATGGCAGCTGTGCCCAAAATGAAGCTATCCACGTCTCAGGTGAGCTGACCTTCCAAGAGATCCCATTCCTAATGCTGAGTATGGCCTGGCCTCCTCCCCTTAATCTGGATTGGCCTTGTCCAGTAAACTTTTGTATCTCAAGGAGTGACACTGGTAAGGCTGACAAGACCTCTTTTCTTTGAGTCCAACAATTACAAGAATTCATGCAATTAAATATTTATTAGTTCATTTCTTTATGTAGAGCACTGTGCTGGGTATTGGGGATTACAACGTTTAGACAAGACATGATACCTACATGTACTCAGTATTTATACGCTATTTGGGGTTTTGCACATAACTGGATAACAGTAATACAAAATAATACATCAGTCTGTTAGGTGCAACAAAGTGTTATGTTGAGCTTTAAAAGATAAACAAGTGAGGATAAAAGATAGCCAATGAAGGAGGGCTGGAGCATTCCTGGAACAGGGAATAACATGAATAGAAGGTGAGAAAGTGCAGAGTCTCTGTGGGGGACAGCAAGTAGTCTAGTTTGGCTGGAACTTAGAATGTTTGAGGGAAGCGTCGCAGGGTGGAGTGGCGCCATATTTTAGAGGTATTGAATACCAGACAAAGGATTTTGAACTTGGTGACACAGATACCCCATGAAGTCAGAAGGTAGATTAAGGGAGAAAAATAATGTGTTTATTTTGTGTGTGTGTGTGTGGCAATGAATTTGAGGTGCCAATAGAATTTCCAGGTATCTTGGAATTTCCTGTGGACATGTGGGCTGAGAGAGAGAGAGAAAGAAAAAGAGAGAGATGTATATGTATATATGTGTATGTATACATATGTAAATATGCATGTGTGTGTGTGTGTGTGTGTGTGTGTGTGTGTGTGGTTTAAAAGCAAAGTCATTCCTGGAGATAGAGATCTCAGAGTTAATGGCATTGAGTTGGTGATTGAAGCCATACAAGTGAATTTCATTGTGAAGGAAGGAAGTAGGGGGCGGGGAGAGACAGAGACAGAGAAAAAGAAGAAAGCTGAATATAGAATATTGGGACATCAACTTTAAGGGGTCAATAAGAGAAGGAAGATTAAGCGAAGCAGACAGAGAAGGACCATGTAGAAAGGTAGGAGAACCAGAAAAGTAGTGTCTCAAAAGCCAAAGGAGAAGAGAATATTCAATATGTGATCAACAGTGTCATATGTTATAGAGAAGTCATAGAAGATAAGAGCTAAATAACAGTCATTAGATTTGATGTATGGGAGTTTGTTGGTGTCCTTTGAGAGAGCAATTTCAGGTGGGAACAAATCCAGTTGCCAAGGACTGAATAGAGAGTGGGTGGTAAGGAAGTGGAAGCTTCCAACACAGATTTCTTTTTCAAGAAACTTGTAAAGATGGGACAGTGACGTAAGAGATGGTACATAATGGCATACTCAATAATACTCTTACAGCCCCTTTGAAAAATGGAGTCTCAATACATTGAACATACAGAATTAAAATATGCATTGATCACATTGGAGAAATGTTAGCTCAATCACAAGTATGCGCAAAAAATTGATGATCTTAGCCAGATAAAGTTTATTTCCTCATTAAAAGAAAAAAAGCTTACTCTCTAGTAAGATGGTGAAGATATGAATACAGAGAAGGATGAATAGGGCTAAACGAGAGATGAAGAAAACATATTCACTAATACAGTTGGAGATAGAAGTAGATGCTGCAACATGCAAGGAAAATTTCTCTGGGAGGACAGGTGAGATTGGTAAAGGTACTTCTCCTATGGTCTGGTTACACCATTCTTACTAGGGTACATTGAAGTTCCCTGCCAGGCAGAAAGATCAAGAAAGTTTTTGAGCGTCTCAGAGCTCAGAAAAGTGACAGAGCTCTAAGAAAATTTCCTTCCAGATAAACTCAGAGAGCGTGATACCCTTTGAGCCCATCTGTAAGCCCATATACAGGGGGACAGAGCAGGTGCTCACTGAGCTGCCCTCCAAGCCAAACAAGGAAAGAACATCACAAACTCACTCTTCCCTCAACAAGAAGCAACTGAGAGAAAAAGAGAAAAAGAAAATCCTTTCTCTCTTCAGTTATATTTCCCAACTGTAGACTACAAAGATAGATTTGACACTTTAAGTCTTGAAAGGCACTTTGCATACACTACCTCCTTTGATTCTCACAATGATCATGTGAGATAAGAGAGGTCAAAGGACACGTTCCTGGTTATATACTATGGGGGATGTTCTATATATGGTTTGTGTTCAGACTTGGGATTATAGATTGACCAAAATTTCCCATTATCTCATTTTGATCCTGGGAAAAGCTTATTCCCCAAATTGTCACTTCATACAATATGTTTTTCTACTATACAAGGTAGCCTTGTGGTCAAACAGGTGGAGACCACCTTTTTGGAGGGGAGGGAAACAAATAGGATCTTCAGAAAAAGTCTTGCTACCTTTTGTGTGAGGCTACTTGTGCAGTCTTGTCCACTGCTCCTACTTGTCTGTTTGAAATCAATCAATCAAAAATCATTTATTGAGCACCTACGTGCCTGGCACTGTTGTAGGTGCTGAGGACAGCAATGCTGTTATTCCCATTTTACAGTGAGGAAACTGAGGCAAACAGTGGTTAAGTGACTTGTCCAGGGTCACACAGCAAGTAAGTATTTGGGAATACTTTGAATTCCATTTCCTTTGTCACATGCAGGATTTCCTTTGTTTTATTATTTATTTCCTTTATTCCTCATTCTCCTTTACCCCCATTTCTAATCACGTGTCAAATTCTGTTACATACCTTACCTTCTCTCTATTCACTAATATTTCTCAAGGGAGAAACAACAGACATATATATGTGTATGTGTGTATGTGTACATATATATATATATGTATGTATGTATGTATGTATGTATGTATGTATGTATTTACAGAATAAATATAAAGAGGATACTAAGCAGCTAAATACAAGGTAGTATGGGAAAGAGAGTACTGGTATTTGGATGTAAAAAAGGCTTTATGTAGATAGTGGTGTCTGAGCTGTCTTAATGGAAGACAAGGATTGTATGAGATGGAAGTGTGCGTTACAGGCATGAGGGAACAGCCAGTGCGAAGGCATGGAGGTGGAAGGTGGAGAAAAGGCCGGTTTGCCTGGCCTGTATACTTTGGAAGAGAGTAATGTAGAAGTAACGTAGAATGAGGCAACACAAATTGTGAAGGCTACCAAGTTGAGGGCTTTAAAAACTAAACAGAATCAGCCACAATTCTCGAGGACTCATGATGAAACAGTCTGCTGACATCCGGATAGAAAGGTGACGGTTTATCTGCACAGAGTCAGATGTATTTTTTGGGTCATGGCTAATGTGGGAATTTGTTTTGCTTGACTCTACATGTTTATAACTTATTTTTCTTGCTTTCTCCATGGCTGGGGGGGGTGGGGGGTGGGAGGAAGAGAATTCAGATTCTCATTGATTGAAAATGAAGGAGTGGGGGAAGGGTCAATGAAAACAGTTAGATGAAGTGGATGTGCGAGGAGGTCCTGAGTACATGGAAGTTTTGTCATTCCAGATGGCAAAGTGGAAGGGGTGGGCAGGGTTAAAGTATGGCCTGGGTGTATAGGGTTAAGGAGGCTGGCCATGAGAATGCGAGAGACGAAGTGTGGAGATGAGTTTTCTCCTGAATGGGTAACAGGTAGTGGGAGTTTGTTTACCGTAGGGGGAATGGTAGAAAGGGTGTGGTTGCAGAGCAAGGGCCAGCAGTACAGGGATTTAGTCATTGTTTCCTTCCTTCTTTTCCTTTGTGGATAGTGGGGGTAAGAACTGGAAATGGAATATGTCTCTGGTTCATATCACCTCACTTGCCAGAGCTATTTATGCCAACAATGCCTATCTCCGAGATTCTCTCCTTTCCTTGTGCATCTTCCCTCCAAGTGAGGGCTATCATAGACTGTCACGGATAGAAGGAATCTTAGAGATCATTCAGTCTAATCTCTCTATTTTTCAGATGAGAAAACTCAGGCCTCGAGAGGGTGTAATACCTGGAAAGCCAGGACTAGAACTCATGTCTGGTGCTTTGGGGCAGCAGTTACCTGTTGTTTCAGGGGTCGGTGACATTCGAAGATGTGGCTGTGTACTTTACCAGGAATGAATGGAAGCATCTGGATTCCTGTCAAAGAGAACTCTACAGGGATGTAATGCTGGAGAATTACGGGAACTCTGGATAAGGGCTGTTTCCCTAATGACTCAAAATTTGCTCCTCTAGGTCTCTTATGTTCTTTATATTCAATTTAGTGCAATTGTGTGTCCAACAATTGAATAAATGATGGTTTATTAGAGTAAAAAAGTCAAGGAGTGATAAATATGAAGATTTGAAAGAAATACGAGAAGACCTAGATGCAGAGTAAAGACCAAAAAAAAAAAAATGTGTAGGCTGACCACAATCATATAATAAATAAAATCAGTATTGAATGATAACATAACCTTAAGTTAAATACAGTGACTATTACGGTAAAATTTAATGCATAAAGTTTTTGCTTCTTTTAACTGCTAATCAATAATAAATGTATGCTTATAGGTACAATTATTTTCAGTCTTTTGTATTGTTTAGTTTGCATTTTCTTCTTGTTTTTGCTTGTATTGTGTTTCCATTGTTATGTTGATCTGTTTAAATACATATGCTTATTCATAGATGTGCAGACACAATTTATCAATAAAAAAAGATTCAGTGCAACAATTTAATTTAGCAAACCTGTATTAAGCACATGTTATATGCAGAGCATTGTGCTCTGTGTACCAAGTTCAGATAAGACATTTATTTCCCTTCAAACCCGTCCCTCCAAACTTCTCTCTTTCATTGCGTCTTCCAGTTGTCCAGGTTAACGTTAACTTTGACCCTTTCCATTTCCTTAAACCTCTATGATCATCAGTTGACAAGTGTTCTCCATTTCATCCCTTCCATCCATCTCCTCTTCGTATTGCCTCTTTCCTTTTTCAGGCCCTCAACATCTCTTGCCTGAATGATTTTGATTTTATTCTCCTAACTGCTCTTCCTACTTCCAGTTACTCCTCTGCTTGAGAAGTTGCAGTTTTCTGCAGCATAAAATATAAAATCCTTAGCCTGACACCTTAGACCCTCTACAGTCTGGCTTCCACTTGCCTTTCCAGGCTAATTTCATGATGTTGTCCTTCATGTACTTTGCATTCCAGTCACACTGATCTGCTGGCTGTCCTTAGACATACTATTCTGTGTAAAGGCACCTCTCTGCCTTTACATAAGTGGGCCTTGAGCCTGGAATGCAGTTTCTCCTCAATTCTATCTCAGAATCCCTAACTTCCTCCAGGAGACACTTAGGGGTCACCCCCACCCCCCACAAAAAGCTTTCTCTGATCCTCTCCAGTTGTCAGTGCACTCTCTGGTATAATATTGCTTTGTGTTATTTTGTTTATGCTAGGTTATTTGCTTACCTCCGCATACACTGACTTCCCTCAGTAAAATGTAGGTTCCTTCAGGGTAAGTACTTTTATTTTCCAGTTTTGAGTCTTGCACATTCTGGTCACATATAACTGTTTATTGAATTGAGTAAGACACAGTCCCTGCTTTCGTCAAGTTTATGCTCTAGAAGTGTGATCCAGAGATCAGATCTTCCTCATTTCATGTAAGCTCAGCATCAGAACATTTTGGTTTCCTCTAGCCAGGTGATAGATCCAGTGGGGCCAGAAATGTAGTTTCCTTTAATCTTTTGGCATCAGCCCATTCCCTATCCTCTGAGTTTCCTGTTGGAGACACTGCCCTAATCTGTGAATTCTTCCAGGCTCACAGTCTCTCAGCAGTGAAGAGCCAAATAAGTTTGTTCTGTTTTTGTGGCAAGATCTTCACCTTTTTTCCTGCCCTTCTTACACAAGGGAATGAGATTCCTTCAAGGGTCCACAATTTCCTCTTGGCCTTGTCTTATCCCAAGGGGTTCAGGAGACTGGTACTGAGTCTCGGGAATACTTTGAATTCCATCTCCTTTGTCACATGCAGGATTTCCTATTTCTGAACCTGGCTTGATCTCCCAGCTAGAGCAAAGAGAAGAGCTGTGTGTGTTAGTGATTTTCCTAAAGTACAAATCTGACCACGTCACTCTCCTACTCAGGACACTCCAGTGTTCCTCTGGGATCAAATACAAGCTTCTCTTGCTAACTTTTTAATTCCTTCATAATCTGGCCCTAACCTACTTTTCCAACTTTATTGTATATAATGGCACAGTGTAAAGACTGCTGGGCCTGTAGTCAAGAAGACCTAAATTGAAATGTGTTCTTAGATGTATGATCATAGGTGAATCACTTAACTTCTGGCTTCCTCAGTTTCCTCAACCGTAAAGTGGGGATAATACTAACATCTATGTGAGGATCAAATGAGGTAGTATTTGCAAAATGCTTAGCACAGCCTGGCATATAGTAGGCCTTTAATAAGTCCTTCCTCCTTCCTTCCCTCTCTCCTCTTTTCCTTCCTTCTTTTCTTTCTCAAATTCTAAAGTCTAGTCATGTTGGCCTCCTTTCTGTGTTTCACTCATGATACTCCATCTC